GTTTGTCGGGTTCACTAGCTTTGTATTTTGAGTCGGTAACTCATAATTCTTACAGTTAAAATACTAGTTTTGACTCGACGCCATAGTAAACTAGTGCCATTTGAATATCTGATAGACTTGCAGAATATCAAATTGACGTACTCTCCATTTAGGGAATATGTATTAACATCCTAGTGAATCATTCGGAAAAACTACGTTCGAGAGTACATATATTCGTAAGGATTTTGAATTATGGATGAAATTTGGAGATGAAATGAAGTGGAAATTAAAAATTATCCAGTTCAACATTTGTGTGGTTCATTGCCCCCGCTAGAGTGAAATATTTGTAATYCGGAATTAAAAATCCGTGAACCAGAATGTACTTCTAGRACTGGTCAAYSTACACYAGTCATTAGGTACTRGTAGACGRRACTTAGCCCGTGAAACGTTACCTAAATGTTAGAGTGAAATTATTCAATCAAAACAAAGAAAAAGAAGTTGTATTACAAGCAAATAGTCTACTAGTTGTTTCACTGGTTAAGTGCGTGACTCGATGCTATAATGGGAACTTGGAACTGAGTCAGCTACTTCCATTAAACATGTATTAGAGTAAGGCATCTAGCATAGCATCTAGACTATAGCATCTTATGTTTTTATATACGTAGTGTAGTTAAAGTTGATCAAATAAATGGGATAAAAAATGAGAAAAACGAGAATTTCATTACATCATGATTCACTCTGTCGTTCTTCTTTTCCTTGCTTTTTTGCATTTATTTTCTCTTTTAATTGATTTTTACTTTTCTTTTTGTTTCTTTGTTTTCTTTTGCTCTATTTGTATTGTCGTTTTCTATTTCCCTTTCACTTTCCATTCCCATTCCTCACTATTAATACATTTGTCAACTCAATAAAATTTAATTTTAATCAAGATGGACACTTTACATTTAAGCATACTGCATGATACAGCCAAAAAAGGTCGAAAAAACATTAAGTTAACAGAGCTTTTGTACTCGAATACAATAAATTACAAACAAATTTATAATAAAAGCTATAGATATCAAACTAAAAGTTGCCAGAAATGAGGTTGATTGTGGGAGGGGTGGGAGGTGTGGGTAAAGTTACCAACGCTGTGATAAGGCATTCCTATCTGTTTCTCGCACTTGCGCTTGATTTTGCTACGGAACACGTAACGCAAGTGCAACGTCAAGTGCTTCTGCACTTGTCCTTGCATCAATAATGTCAACAAGGTGCTCTACTTTAACTGAAGAAAGTCTGATTTCCATTGGACAAGTTTGACTGCAGTAGTCATATGCACGAGTTCCATGGGTTCAAATAGCCTGCCCCCTCCCCCCCTAGAGGCTCAAATTACAAGTGATCCACAAACTGGGCGTCAATCAAGTCAACTGGGACCAACTCTATTAATAAAAACTCGCCTTGTATAAAACCAAGTCTGCAGGAAGTTTGTAAAAATTGCAAAATTTTCTTCTAATTGGACCCAAATCTAGGCGTATCAACCAGTTTAAGACCCGAACAGGTCGTTTTGTTTTGATCAAAATATAATTAACTTGAACAATTAGATTTTCTGATAATCTAAGATAATTAAAAATTATACATGCCATGGCCACCCATTAAGAAACAATATTCTAAAGATAATGAGATCGACAGATAAGGAAAAAACAATATTGACTAGAGCTATCGCTAAGGACTTTATTTACCGTTAAATCAAAAAAACTACAGGGTTCCTATGTTCAAGCAATTAGAATGAAAAAAATATATTCTCTCTTTTTAGTTTCAATCACGAAGGTTTTTCTATATAACGCACGATATCATTGGTCAACAAAAATATAACGCGCGCTATTATTGGTCAATCAGCAGGCCGTACAATACCTTTACAGATCAACTGAAAAGTTAATTATAAGAGGTACAATGTTAAGCAAAACTTATTCCTAAAAGACTTTCACGKCATGGGAAAAATATATTCAAAAGTTTTTCTCTCAGAGAAAAGCCCAATAAAAAGTTTACTAAACAAATTTTAAAATAGAAAACGTCTTATGCTGAACACAGGGAAAACAGGTTTGTTGCTGGGGAAAACTAGCCTACTTCACTTCCGGACTTCTCTCTACGTTAAAAAAAACGTAAGAAAACGTACGAAAAGACAGGATGTGACGTAGGATTGCGGAAAACGTGTTATTTTAAAAAAAGAGAATAAAACAGTCTTACACACCCAGTCTCGTTGCTACATTGTATTTTGTCACCGATCCACACGCATGGATAAAGTTTGTTCCCTTTTTCAAATACAAACGAATTGATTTTAAAACACTTCAATTTTCCGCGCTTAAACAATTGCGAAAAAGTCTATATATATTGATAAMAAACGGCGCGCGAGAATATATCTGCTGTCGGAAAAGTTAACTATAAATGTTCAGTGGAACATAGGAGTTACAAAGGGTCTTCAATCAAGGAAAAGCGCGCGAATAAGGCAAATGTACAGTTGCGTAGAGACATATTTGTGCAATGGAATATAGGAGTTACAAAAAKMAGTCTWCAAACAAAGAAAYGCGCGCGAGGACAAAATTAACGGTTGCGCAAAGACTTCTTTGTTCAGTGAAACATAGGAGATACAAAAGTCTCCAAACAAATCAATGACACAAATACATACGAGGCTAATAATTGAGTGCAAAGCGAGATCTTGCTTATCAACGGCCTATTGTATGTAATTTAGCTGGTTGTGGTATTGTTTTGAGATTAACTACCTGAGGCTGTGATTTTTAATCATGTCTTCCAAAAGACATAACACTTTTCAAAAATGCTCTTCACAATTAGAAGACAGAAACCACGTTGTTAAAGTATGGGGAGGAATAGTTAAAAATAATCATGATGTGTGAAAATAAATAAACCAGTATAGCACATAAATAAATTTAGAGAAAAACATGAAAACTCTGCCAAATATTATGATTTTTTAAGTTCAAATCAGTTATATTAAATTGACTGTATTTTTAAAGTCTTTTTTTATAGATTATTCTACCAACAAGCTGCTAACCTGCTAGCAGCTAGTACCTGTTCTTCCATTCAACTGAACAGCTGAATTAAGAGTATGAAAGGAAAATAGTAACTATTAAGTTTGACTGCTTCAAGACATGCAAAGATAAAGACTTTATTTTAACTTTTATTGCCTTAACCATCGCCAGACAAAATAAAATACATCGTAGTATAAGCAAAAACTTACTCTTTATTATCACTTTATGCTATATGGAGATATTGCAAGATTCAGTGTTAAAACTAAAGGATGGAAACGAATTGCAAATGGATATTTGTATAGTCATTTCATTTATCATATTTTAAAAAAAATAAAGCAACCTTTACATCAGCCTATAGTTCAAGCATTTCTTTGATTTGTGTATAGCATTAGACTCAGCTATAAAGATGAAAAGATTACAAGAAAGAATGAATGAATAAAAGTTTACTTTTAGTGAAATTACTAGTGCCAATTGAGTGCAAAATTGGTAAAGTTACTGTTTTAGTAAGTCCAGAGGATGAAGAGCCTTTGTTTTATATTTTTGTAGAAAAGTTTACATCTCTTAAAAAAGGTCTTAAAAAAAGTCTTAGAAGGACAGACAGGTGACTTGATTATTTTGGGATTCCTGAGTAGTGAAGATCGAGTAAAACTAGTAAATAATAAGAGTAATCCTGTAGTTCTGTTTGCGGTCTCCCTGTGTCATGAATTGAAGACAGGGATCCCAACACGAGGATGAGTTCATGATATCATGGTCCTCTTTAGTTCTTTTTGTGCATGAGCCTTACACCAGAATGGAGAGTATGCATTTATGTAGTCAATCAGAAGACTTGCATTTAAAATGGAAAATCAGAAAGAATGAAATAGACAAAGCCCATTTCATGAGAAAGTGGATGTTTTATCTTGAATGAGGATATATTTCCTTCACGAGGAACTATTTTTCCTACATAGAAATAAGATTATTTTTCCTAAAGTTCTAGGCCCTCTGGAAATACAGCCTTTGTTCAATTTAGAGTTATTGATTTGAATTCTACAATATCATAAATCACCATTGAGCAGCAATAAGTATTTTTAAGTTGAAACTGCTTGGGGTACCTGAGCAAACAGGAAGCCCAAACTATATAACATCGTTTTTAATATAAAAGCCATAAAAGGAACGCATTTTACTCGCAAATGAACAAAAAACAAGTTTGACATGCTCAGAAGTGTATAATTATGAATAAAGTACAATCTTACCTCTTTCGAGCTTGATAAATAGTCGAATTTATGCTGAATTCCAAAACACGAAGACATTCCAAACGCACAGCTGACACGGATCACGGATGTTGTTTCTCAGCAAAGCAGCAAAAAATGCATGAAGCAGCCGTCGTTACTTTTCTCTTAACTTCGAATTTTCATCGCCAAAGTATTCTGAAGCATTATTCATTGAATTTCTCTTTGAAATACTCAGAGTACGTTACGAATTCAAGTCAAAACTTTGCTGTATTTTCATTCTCTGAGTCAAGCCAAGCCTCTCTTTTAAACTGCGCGCGCGCGTTGACCTTAGGTCATGACGTCATTGAAAATGGCGGGAAACCACAGGGAGCCAGAATATTGGGGAGTAAAACGAAATATCCTTCGAAATATGTCAAATTTATAATAATAAAGCTTTATTTTGACGCAGTTATATGTATTTTAATTCGCTTTTTTCGGCAATGGTGGCGTTTAAGCGTATTTGGGTAAAATATCCCATGAATTTCCCTTGTCTGACAGATGGATGGACCACTCGGACTAAATCAGTGGTCAGGAAAAATGAATTTTTTTTTACAAAAGTATTTGTACAAGCATTACTTGGAAGGGTAGGATATTCAAAGTGTAAACTAGGGTTACAGCAACAAGGAAAATACTATTTTAACAGATTCAGCATCTGTAATCTGCAAATATTTGATTCAAAACTTAGGAACAGGTCTCCTAAGGTAAGTAACTACATAGAAGGAGTCGTAAGTTGAGTCTGAAAACAACTGRGGAATCGCCCACAAAAAATTGTCTACAGTTGCGTAAACGCAAGCCCTTCCGCCCCCTTCTACATATGACGTGCTGATAGAWATCCATGATGTAATGCGTCWCCCTATGGAAACTGATCTGAGTCATAGACAATACTCGGAAGCACAATATTAATTGAAACTCTTCTACTGAAGTCGTCTCCATGGCTACTGTCTCCATAGATACTTTCACGTGAGACATTATGCCTTTTCATCACTCTSTCTTTTGCCATGTCCAGCGGTGCTTTATACATTTTTTCCCCTTCAATCGAAAGAGAATTCAAAGAAGAAGATCGCGTCTGTCCAAATTCAGAYTTGATACGAGTGACGAAGCTCTCTTCAGAGGAAACATCGGAATCATTTGATGAAGACACAGAATTCAATCTCTTATTGYCCCTTGTTGTATTTCTGAACAATCTCTCGATGCCTTCCCGTGAGCTAAACTTTTCATGTGTTTTCCTACAGAATGAGCAATACCTGCGATATTTCTGCTGCGCTCCTCTGAATTCCTTCCTTGAGTTTTCACAGAAGTAGTAAGAAATGTCGACGTTATCATCGTTTTCGTGGAGATTGTTGCCATGGGAATTAACGAGACTTTTACTTATTGACTTGTCATTTGGAGTTTTATTCAAAGCTATTAAAGTAGGTGAATTTGCAAATGATACCGTCTTTTGTCTGTGTTTTTGCATATTGTTATTGGGTAATATTTCTGACTCGAGATAAAGGCCAATCCATTCAACTCAAGCTGTAATTCTAGGTTGTCTTCTTGCTCAAAATTGGCTTATTGTTATTGAGCCGTTGGACTATATGAAGTCCAGATGAAAGCCTTCATATGCCTTTTTATTACTATTCTGAAATTCAATGTAAACAAAAATGATTTCAAACAACCTTTCGCAAACAATTGTACTTCATTTATCGACAAAAAATCCACTAAAGCGCTTTTTCTTTTCATTTTATCAAACCGTTATCAGTTTTGTTTGCAAAACTTGCTTTTCAATGACACGGAATAACATCTTTTTTAACGGTGTCACATTAACTAGCTCGCTTAAAACATGAACTTTATCTCTTGAAATGATTATTTTCTTACCTTTTTGAACTCGAGAGTCTTCATTTAATATTCTGCACTGAATGTACAGTAAACTTTGAACGTCTAAATCAGCTTTTCCCTTGTATTTTATCTAAGATTTGCTTCAGTTACTGTTTCATGAGCATTCGCGCGGTTAGTAAAGTGGAACAAAAATTGGTTTGATGTCAACTCTGTGAAGTYTACTAGCCTTTCGTTTACATTACCTCATAGAAAACACTCGGACTTCAAAATTTCACTTGTAAATAATTTAGTCTTTRTTTTGCAGCTGGTTTTTTGGATGTCATTCATTAATATTAATACCGCACTGRGGGACTGCGGACGGTGTGTGCGTCAAAAGTGAACAGCACCTAGTGTAATAACTGGTGTYGGCTTTGTGAACACAATTGGTGCCTTTGTTTGGGTTTAAAAATAGTCGTTGGACACTGAAATTTCATCAAATTGTCCATTGTCTTTCCTAAGCTTGCTTACTATCGACTTGAATAGGAATTTAAAGAAAACTGTTGTCTTCATTGTAGTTCTGGATAATGCTAGGTAATTGATATGTTCTTAATAAAGCTTGTGAAAAGATTTTGGCATTTCCAAAGAACAAATACAAACTTGTACTTCAGTACATGAAAGATAAAAAGATAAGTTACAAAGCCGAAGCATTTTTTAATCAACTGTTCACAGTCGCAAAGTAAAACCGGACCGGACTGAAATTGCTCTTTTGAAGTCGTGCAAACATCTTTTCTTTGAAATTCTGCAAGGCAAAGCACAAAAAAAACTAATAAGAGAAAATAAAAGTATTGAAATTGGATTTTAATCTACCAGGATTTTTTTTCTCCTTTATTTCACTTAAGTATACTATAATATTATTATCTTAATTTTTATCTTATAATCTTATTAACATCATTACAATACATGTATTTACATAGTCCATAATTGCTTAAATACAGGCTTATTATTTTTATTTTACAAATTATAATTTTTCTGTTTTGTTCGTTGGGAATCCCATAGCTTTTCTACAACAAAAACACTAGATTTTCGACCGCTGAAATTCAAGATGGCGGCCAATGCAATTTAAAATGGCGTTTGATGAATTTAAAATGTCGGATGATGAAATTCAAAATGGCGGTCAGGGCGCTTGCACACACAATATATAGTCAGTATATTATATATATAATATCAAAGAGGCAAGATTTTGCTGTAACTCCGAGTTTCGTGCTACGCACTCATCAGACAGTATTTAATCAGTATTTAGTCAGTATATTATGATATTTTCTGACTTATTCATTAAAATGTGTGTCATTTTATGAATTGGCGTTTTTAAAAGACATCACTAACCCTGTTGAAACGATTCTCTTTTCAAGTTTTTCAAAACTGCCAAAGTAAGTTTTTGATTTGAATTAAAAATCAAATAGGACAGAAATCGCTTACAGCAAATGTAGGCAGGCCTATATAGCGATTGCTGTAGTTAGAACAGATAGTCCAGATAGTTTCTATTTCTGTTAAAATGGCACTCTGACTTTGGTCGCTATCTATCCATTTACAATCATCACTTTGAATAGCACAATTTGAGGTTTTTTCCTCATTGTGTGTCGATCTTTGAATCTATCCATTCAGCTAGTTGGACAGCCTATTTCTGTTATAACACTCTGACTTTGGTCGCTATCTATCCATTTCAGATGCATAACTATAGTTGTGCACTTCTGTCCATTTACAATGGCGTCAGTTTGAATAGCACAACTTTAATATATATAACTTTAAGTGTATTTCTCATCACTGTGTGTCTGTTTGTCTGCTTGTCAATCAATCCATTCAATGTCGTTTCAAATACAATGTAGTTTTTAGATACATAATTTTAAAGGTATCTCTCATCTCCTGGTTGTAACCAGCGTATATAAACACATTTATACAAGCATTAAAGTACACCATGAACACAGCAATCTTMATCACRACCAAAGGTACGTTAACGTTCGCTTCAAAAACKCCTAGCAYGTCAATAATCGTTATAGGTACAGTCAACACCACGAATAYCCCAACGATGATMAGAACAACCTTGGTYGCTTTTCGATCACGTCCAGCTCGGCTTGGTATGCGCTTCTTGAACGACGCAAATGATATTTTCGATTTTTCAGAACTTCTTGGACTAAACGCGTCRTCAAAGGTCTGAGTGAGGTTAATTGTTGACATATTGTCTGTTTGGGTTTCCTGTGTTGGTGCTCGCGCGATGTGTATTCGTCGTACGTGGTTCTGTGCAGTCTTGAGTATGAATACATTGGTTATTAATAGTATGGCGAGCACTGCGAAGTTTATTATCGAGAATAGCATAAATAGATATTCCTTGCGTAGAGTTGTGGAGAAGAGACAAATGCTCGTCAAATGGGCGTCGGCCTTTGCTCCCCAGCCTGTTACAACAGGTATGAGGGCGATAAARAYTGACGTAACCCAGCAGAATGTTATAACCGAACCCACAACAAATGGAGTTACAAGTACCTTGTATCTCATCGGCCTGTAAAGCGCGATAAARCTGTCAATGCTTATAATGGTAATATTTAGATTCGATGCGCTYTAAAAGAATATGGTCAGRGGTATTACCACTAAACACGGTATCAGGGGCTTGGTATCAGTTTGGTTGAGCTGTTCCGCGAGCCTCAGGGGAATGGCGATGAATCCTTGGAAGAAGTCTGCGACTGCGAGGTTAACGAAGAGAATGTTTGCAACGCTGCGAATGCGTTTGTTCCAAAGTACAGCGATTATGATGATTAAGTTGGAGACGATGGCGATGGCGGAGATTGTTATCATCGCCATGGATGTGAGCACGAGGTCCACGAGTTCCGTCGACATTGCGGGGGATGCAAACTGGAAAAGGAACAGTTTGACATTAATGAATGTTATTGTAGGTGGATATGGATAAAAAGTGGATTTTAGATCATAGGAAATTTTAGTTATATATCAGTTCCTAAACATGCATGTTATCGAATTTCTCGTCGAGAAGGCCATGGGTATTCAGTGCAGAAAGTATTCCATACATGAAACACCACATACGCATGATATATCACAGAAATTGTTTGCCATCGCATTATTCTCCCTTTCAGTCCAATCAATCATACAGAATAATGTCCAAAAATACAATAAGTAAACTAAAGCTAGGACTGCATTAACAGTATTTTGTTAACGGAGTGTTCTCTATTGTTAATAGTAACAGTCGTTCTACAAACATTTGACTATCGCTGGCGCCTTAAATAAGAACACCTCTTAAAAAAAACTAAAAAAACTAAGTAAAAACTAAATACAAACCAAAAAAAGCTACCGCAAAATCTAAAAGCTGTTTAATAAACTGACAAAATTTATTAATAGTCAATTATATTTCTTTTGAAGGAAAGTTGCCACGTTGAATTAGTCGTTGGGTCAAACTGCGCTTCTCTTGAAAAGTTATTTCTCGGAAAATCTCCATGGTAATGAGTGACAACTCGCTTTGGCTGTCAGTCTTAGGCCTTTTATCTTTAAGTGCAATTTTTGTTCTTTGTTCTTTTTTCTTTCTTTTTTTTTTTTGTTCTTTATTTTTCACTAGAATCTACTGGGCAGGTGAAGGGGCGTTTTTTGAAGCGAAATTTTCCGTCAATGTGGCTCAGTACTAACTCAGTCTTGAGACAGCATTATCTGACGCTCAAATCTCATTCTTATTCGTGTGTTAGCTATATTAAAAAATGTTTTCTGTCTTAGAACAGTGAGCAGGAAGAAGCTCACAATTCACTGAATCAGGCTGGGCGATTAAATAGTTCTCATTCTCGTTCGTGTAGTTAACTTTATCAACAATTGCTAATCGTCGTTATCTCTCTAACAACATAACGAAGTATAACGATTTGTGCAGCTTATTAATCTCGACAAAATTATAAGATGGACATTTCCTTCTTCCTCAAGATGAATTCTGAATTGAGGGGAAATGCAGCAATCAAATTAACCAACCTGTGCCGTTTTATCTTTAAGTGATAAWTTGAATTCCTCCCACTTTCATAAGACTGTTATTAGTATGTTTCCAAAAAAAGGTTTACACTTCGGTTTTATGAGATGATTCCAGTAAGGCTTCCACCTGTTCCGCGATTTGAAGACTAACTGCGCTGGCTGAAGAAAATAGACAATGATTGCCAATTGCACAGCGTGAAGTCTTGTCTTTCTGTTATTAAATCAGTAACTGAACATTTCTCTCTTCTCATCCAGTTTTTTCCATCTTTAGTTCTTTGATATTTCCACCGTATCGCTACAGAACTGAGTACTTTTTTCACTTTCAAAATGATTTTATAGTCTGTTGCTGTGTCTACAAAACTTTACTCTTTGAAGATTAGGCGATGCTTGTTTTCCGGCTTTTTATTGTTTCTTTGATAGCTTCTAGATCGAAAAGAACTAMTTTCTGTTCGATGTCAATCTGTTGGCTTTTTTCCTATATTAATTGTTTTACCAAGAAAGATATTTTTTCGAGTACTTGTCTGATGTGCTGGCAGATGATGGTAAATGGCAAATGATTAGCAATCAAGTACAGTGGTGGTCAAATACAATCTTTGGGTTCAGACGATCTGAAAACAACTGAAAAAGGAAATACATTATTATCCCAAATATTGGACTCGACTTGGAGTTAAAATATAATAATCCCCTCGAGAATTACGAAATGCAAATGACATCAATTAATATTTCTTATAAGTGATAAAGTAAGTTGTCAATGCGGCAACGAAATGACAGCAAGCGAAAACAAATGACTGGAGCAATTTGCATTGAAGGTTCACGCTGTTTAACTTGGTTTATATATAACACTTTCTAGAAGATCTCGTGTGTCAAAGTGGTCTTACCTGTAAGACCTGTAAATCTATAGATCTTTGAGATAAAGTTGATCTATCTCTGCCGTTAGATAACTGATAGTGGAGCTGAACTGATGGTGATTAATATATTTACGATTGAGTGGACACTCCTTAACAATAAACACCAATCGATCAATGCCCAAACGCCTAAACTCATATAGATAAACAAAAACAAAAGAAAAAGGAACTTGTGCGAAAAAGGAACTTGATGTCAAAAAAGTCAACACTTTAAAACCGCYGGTTGTTTTTATAGTCAAAACAGCYATGCGGGAGTATATTAAGGAAAGTTTTTTGTTGAATTTGAATGAGAAGTAGCATAACTGGGAAAATAGGAATACAAAAAAAAAACAAAGGAAATGACAGAAAAGTTTGGAATATTAAAGCATCCGCTACTTATAGAAACCATCAAGTGTGTAGGAACAATGATGAATTGATGTTTACATTAAAATCAATACAAAGCCGGATTAAAACGTTATACGTTGTAGAAAAGATTGAAAAAGCACTTGCGTTTTGGACTTTGGTCCTTTTTGACAAGAAGAGAGAAAGTGAGATAGATAAGTGTTGTTTTTTTTTTAGTTTTTGTCTTTTGTATAGAGCTAAGTAAAAGAAGTTATAGCTAATAAATCAAAAACAACGTTGGCAAGGAAACATCGTGATAATGTTTTTGATAGCAGTTCTATTTATCTTTTTTAACTATGTCTATTTGATTATTTTTTATTAAGGCCGCATGACAGGGTTACATGGATCAAAACTGTTGATTATTTTG